TACCCCTATAAGCTTTGTCAACTCACTTCCCTGGTATACCTGAGAACTGGTGACATTCTAGTCAGTAAGGGAAAACTCTATGGGCAGTGGTTTCTGTAAGGTATTCAATAGCTGCCATTGAATGCATAACTGTATGTGAACAACATAATTGAAATGCCATGTAAAGCTTCGTCCTGGGCTAGGATCCTAATCCATCCAATCGTATTGGTAGCCCAGGAAGAACCAACCAATCAGGTACCAGCAAGCTCCCTGAGCAGGAACATCTATGATTGGTCGTTATGTAAACAATCATATTGGTTGATATTTTACAGTAGGGCGTGGCTACATTAGCTGGGAGAGTTTAAAAAGGGAACAGCTTTAATGCAAAAGCGATGTTGATCCGTGTTGGAGTTGTGTTCAAGTTGATGAATAAAGCTGAATCTTTGCTGAATCACTCTCCAACTACTTTGTTAAGCGAGCGACTTAGCAGTTTCTACTGCCAAAACTATCGCCACGATCCAGCTATTGTCTGGGGTTTCTGCATGTCTCCATTCATCTTGGCAGGAAACTCTCCTTAGGGATGTTAGAGAAACTATGAAACAAGGGGCTGAACATTGCCTTATTCTTACAAAGGTTAGCTCCTGTTTAGTATCTGTAGGGTTCAGACTTACCTCTCCATGACAACAGGACTGTTGACATAGTACACTTTGGGACCCCAGAGAATGTTTTGAGCCTGCCTGGTTAGAGAATACCAATTCAAGTGGGCATGGCTCAGAATGGAAGGGAATTGCTTTTGCCTATCCTTGATTAAATGAAATTGCAACTTGGTTCACTGTCCAGAGCAGATTATATAGAAGCCAGCCAAAGGCAGACTTGATGTACATACAGACCTGCTACTACAATATTGCTGTTCAATGTAATTTTACAGTAATTTTGTTTAGGGTTACCATATTTTGAAAAGCAAAAAAGAGGACATATTTCCCAACTGACTGCTTCAAATGAGTGACCACTATGACAAATCTCATTGTAAATACCCCTACTATTTAAGCTGTGATCATTGACATTTTCATCAATTTTTTTAAAAGAGCCCAAAAGAGGACTCCCCCACACAGACAAAAAGACATGTCCTCTAAAAAGAGGACATCTGGTAACCAATGTTGCCTCTAAGGTGTGTAGTTTTGTGAGCAGATACCCTGTGAGCCAAAAGTAGTCCTAGTGTTAAAACTGTGAGCGGGCTGACATTTTTAAAAAAATGAGTGCACAAACATACAAACAACATATAAACTATTATCATTTGTATTACAAGCCATATATTTATATTAAACTTATTTATATTTATATGAAACATATTTGTATTACTTAACCTCCCAGGCTTAAGGGCACAGAGAGTCACTTTGCAAAGCACCAGAAGCCACCAGATCGCCTCTAGCAGGCTGCTGAGCCCAGCTCCCCACCCCAAGACAAAACAAACAACCAGGCAGCTCACCTCAGGAAGGGCAGAAGCTGGGCAACAGAGCAGTTCTCCTTCTGGGCCAGGGTATCTCCAGGAGCATGAGGCAGAGGACTGCCGGGGAGGGTAGCAGCGCCCTCTTTCATAGGGTAAGCAAACTGCAGCTGAGGGGAGGCGGGGCCAGCCCAGATTAGGAAACACAAAGCATACTGCTGTGTTTCTGTGCTGCCTGAGCAAATGGATCCGTGCTGCATGGCCATTGGAAAGGGAACCTCTGCACCTGTGCTGTGGTAAAAATTGCTGCGCTGGCCAGGGGAAATCGGTGCGCTAGCACAGCTTGGCGCAGCTTAAAGGGAGCCTAGCTGGTAACCCTAATTTTGTTACACTCATGAGGTCTGATATGATCAGATGGAATTGCAGTCTCCTTGGAGCTTTTCAGAAGTTGAACAATCACATCTCTAGTCTGGTGTTGCTCACCCTCCTACAATATTACCTAACAAAGTTAATCAGTGGTTTTCCCTGCCCACTTAATGGATGGTTTGCTTATGAGCTTCTCACAAAATAGCTTGAGATTATATTGGATTATATTCCTCTCCATTTGACCTCTGAGGGACATGTGGTGCTTGCATTTCCAGAATTCAACAAATAAAAAGTAGAGGCTGCTGTTTGGATTGTGTTCCCCCAAGGCTTGAAAACCATATAGGATCACCATAAGTTGACTGCAACTTGAGGGCGCTTTCCACTACCACTAAGGATCCCGGCAGCAGTAAGTTAACCATACTGGAAGGGAGAGCACTTCAGCACTCCTGTGGCCAGTGCGAGGATAAGGGGGTAAGAGTGCAAAAGCACTGGGAGGGGGAATGTTTGTATTCTCTACACACCTGTTTCACTGGATGATTATGAGGATTAAGGACTGTAGGTTGAGGGAGGAGCATGTGTATTTCTAGTGCTGCTTTTCTACTGCCTCTTAATATTATATGTATTAATGCTTGTAACTTGTTCAGATGTTTGTATCTTATGATTGCTTGCTGTTCTAAAGTGCAAAGCTATTCAGAAATTATTGCATACCTGTCAATATGTCTGATATTGTATATACCTTCTTAGATTAATTTAAGAGCTCTGCTTTGTGAGAACAGGAGGACAATTTAGTCCAGCGTTCTGCTTCCAACAGTGACCAACCAGATGCTTCTGAAAAGCATAGATGCTGATCACAAAGACAACAGCTTTCCCCTGTTATGTATACCCAGCATCTGCCACTCCTCTGTTTCTGAATATGTAGATTCCAATAAGTGTTGGAACTAATAGGCACTGATAAGCTATCCAGTTAAGAAGACAATGTCATAGAAATGTATCTCATAGGTTTTGAAAAGCCATTCAAACCTAGAAAAAATCAGTGATGTACCTGACACTTATGAATGCATAGCAGCACTTTTCAGAGACTTCAATTAGCAGTAGTGATGATCTGTATGTCTTTGTATAACATAGCCATGTACAACTTGGGCATGGAACTTTGCTTACCAGTTTGCTAAAGGGTTCCACTGCTGTGGTGACTTCTCCTGAAGCGCTCTTTTAAAGGAATGTTAATGCTTGAGCTGATGTTTACTATTAAGATGTACTAATATTTATGTATTTATTTTATTAATTCCATTTAAATAGATCCACTGCAATAATGTTGCTCTAAAACAAAGAGTGCAGAGTTAAGAGCTGTGGATTTGCACATGTTATGTGCATTACAACAAAACAGCTGAAACAGGAAAAGTATTGAATGGATGCAAATTTGTACACAACAGTCATGCGTGCTCTTCAGTGGCTTCTTTTACCTTTTCTCGTGGTACTATTCTATGTGTAAATCTCACATATGCAGAAACTGGTGATGAGAACCGGCTGTTATCCTAATCTTATCCTTATCCTGTAGTCTGATTTACAACTGAATCTAGGTTTCATGTGATGACTTTGTTAGAGTTCAAAGTTGTTCATCATATATATTCCATCTGTTTTCATGTCAGTCAAAGCTATGGAGATACCTGCTGTGTCCCTCTCCCAAGGGAGCTGAGCATGTTATACTTTTACCCAAATGCTTGATGTGATTCTCAGTATGTGGGGGAAGCAACAAGTTGGCTGGCTTGCACAGCATATTTACTGTTTCAAAGAAACAGCGTACCTTGAAGGTTTGCATATAGAAAGAGATGCTGAGATACTGTTGGTAAAGGCTTACTTAGAATGTCATTGGCAGCTTTTGCAGTAGAATATAGGTTTGGTTAAGAGGACCATTCACGATGCTCTTATATCTGCACTTCTGTGGGATTGGTCCTGCCACACTCTGTGGGGAAGAAAGCTGGCTGTGGTGCCAGGATATGCTGGCTTGGTGACTTGAAGAGTTTCCTCTGAATCTGCATTTGAAACTGATCCAGTAGGTAACTTTCCAAATGTAGGGAGGTTGTCACAGGTGTTCTTAAACAAACAGTGTTTGATGTACATTCTAGGAGTGATGCACTTGCAGGACCGGAACTATGTATGTGCTCTCACTGCATGCATTGAGTTGGCCATTGTTCAGAAATGGGGGAGAAAGAGAGCTTTGCATTCACATACGCACCATCTGGCATAGTGAGAGTACTGGGAAGAGGGGGTGAGGATCAATGTCATGAGTTTTGCTTGCATTAAGAGTTAAGTTGCTTGCTTGACCAACATGACCAGGGTAGCTCAACCCAGGAGTACTCAAACCACATTCTTGACACTAAAAAGACAGATTCATACATTATCGTGATGGTGTGGCTATTTTGTGAGAAGTACAGTTAACTAAGAATTAATTGAATAGACTGACTAACCCTTCTAGGAATCTGTACAGTAATTAAAAAGATTATTCAGGGTTCCATACCACTTGCATTATAGTGACACATGCACGGTTGAGCTCATGTATCGCTTACTCTTGCATTGTGCCTTGCGGCAAGAAGTAGCGTGGAAACTGGGATCAGCATTTAAAGACTGAATAAGACATTGAGTGTGAATCTACACTTTGTTTTGATGCTTTATAAGCTGATTTCCTGTTTAAGAAGTGCATTTAGTATCTGCATTGTAGGAAGAGTATACATTGCAAACCACAAAGTAAGTGATTAAGGCTGAAACCTTTCTTGTTTACAGCTTCAGAGGATAGAAATGGAATGTACGTGCTTAAACAGCAGAGAAGTTTCCTGTGTCTATAATATTGCCACTGTGGAATTTCTGGTGTAATTGCTATTTGATTATTATGCTGGTTACCACTTAATGAAATGCTATATTCTGAAAATGTCCACTGAGAAGGAGCTTCAGTTGCAGTCAACAGGGCCTGCTTTGACTGCAAAGCAGGCCCTGTTGATTACAGCAGATGCTGCTTCTCAGTGGATGTTTTCAGGATTGCAAGTGGTAATAATTAAAGTGTATATGCGGAGGTGAAAGTGTAATGTAGTTGCATTGCACAATTAGGGTGCTAAAGGTAGCTTCCCACCCTGTCATCTTTCTAAGCACCTCCCTAAAAATAATATTATGTCCTTTTTCTGCACAGATACTAAATATTTATCCCATTCTTTTTCACCAGGAGAATTGGTAGCTCCAACTGATCTCAGTGAAAATGGCTTTGGGCAATCTTACATCGAAGGCTGTGTCACTTTACGATGAATGGATTAAAAATGCTGGTGAGTCTTGATTCCGATATTTATGAATACTATGTAAAACTGAAAAAAAATATTTATTCATATATTTTACTACATTTTTATTCCTCCTTTCTTATATTCTTATATTGAAGGCAGCTTATAGGTTCTCATATGTTTAATCTGCACAATAATCCTGTGAGGTAGGCTAAATAGAGAAGGACAGGCATTTCATGGCAAGTAGGGATCTGAATCTGTCTCTCCAGGCCCTGACCAGCACTTCAACTTGTACACCATATTAAGCTGTATGTATGGTGTGACCTAGATGCGTTCAGTCTGATCAGGCAGAGATGGGGGAACAGTCTGAAAAGGATAGTTTTTCATTTGAGAAGGTGCTAAGATTTCACAAGAAGGAACAAAAGTCATGTGCTAATAGAGGGCAGATGTGACATCAGATTAACTAGATTTTTGTTAGATATTCATATTACATACCAGAAAAAATTGCCTGAAAATGAATAATGTTTAATGTGAAATTCTTACTAGAAACTCATATGACAGGTAGAGAGTAGGGATGCCAGACCCCCTGGTGGGGGCGGGGGTTCCCCACTTTCAGGCCCCTACCTTTTCACCACTAGCCTGCTGGATGGCGGGAGGGAATTACCCCCCTCCAAACAGGGAAGTAGGATGGAAATTAATGCAATGTGCATATGTGACCCGGAAGTGATGCAGGCACATTGGGGATGTCGGGAAGGGGGTTTTGTGCTCTTGTTTTTGGTCAAAACTATAGTAGAAGCTAATTCTACCATAGAGTTTTTGCCCAAAAGCCATAGTGTCACTCCCCTGACGTGCCTGCATCACTTCCAGGTCACATAGGCATGTTGCATTAATTTCCAGCGTTCCTCCCAGCACCTGATAAGTGTACCCCTCCATCCTCCGGTGGCAGCTCAGAGAGGCCTGGCAACCCTAGTAGAGAAATATGTGGAGCAAATGAAACTGGGTAACATTTATGCCATCTCTAATATAGCTGAGTGTTGCAACCATATTAGTGTCCTGGAAGTTTAGATTATCATGGAAGATAAATAATGATGAAAGGCAAGGCGGCCAATAACTGCCCTGGTTGTTCATATTTATGGGCCTTATCAAATACAGACAAACCTTTATAGAGTATCTTCAGGACTGTTAAGAGTTTTGCATATGCCAGAACAGCTAGATAATCTGTGGATATTCGAAATACCCTTTTAAATGTTAAAAAAACCTTACAGTTGTCTCAAAAAAATTCACATTTCAACCATTAAGAATTATGACTTGGAGATTCTAAAACAGGACCTGTTTCTCCAGTAACTTTTTTTTGGACTAGTTCAGGTATATCCCCAGCTAGGTAATAAGGGCTTGAATATTGGTTACTATCAAAATAAGAGGTTCAGGAGGCAGTTGGAACTGGCCTTGATTAGCCTTTTAACTTTAATGTTACTTCTGAAATGAGTTCTTCCATTATTTGGGACACTGTAAAAGCATTTGTAACAGGTATGTTTGTTGAGAAATTAGAAGGTTTATTGGGTTTTTTTAAAAAGCATTTAAACAAAAACAGTAGCCAATCATTTATGTTCTTATTTTGAATTTGGTAATAAGCTAGCTAAACCCAAGAAGAATAATGTTATTTTGGTCATCTCTATCGATAATTTGGTAATTTTTAGTAGCTGTCCTATGCGAATTGAAAATATTTTAGGAAAACAGAATATTCCTCAGGTTATACAATCAGATTTAGATAAATAATTTTTGTCTCAATAAAGCTTCTTTTACTTCAAAATAATTTTTATGGTATTAGGAAAAAAGGAATAAAGCTTCAGGCCTAGATGGATTCAGTGCAGCCTATCTATTTGAATGATGAGCTAGTTAATTATTATACAGTGCTGTTTCTTGGGGAAATTGTTCTGTTAACTAGTTAGATATGGCTCCTATTAGATCTAGTTCAATTGGGAGATAGAAGCAAATTTCAGATCTTGGTGTATGTTTCTTGTGTGGCTTAACAAGTGACTACTATAATATTGTATCCCAAATTCTACTTTTATTGATTCCCATGTAGACCTGTAATATTAGGAAATTTATTAATGAAACTTGCTTAGAATGACTAATCCTTCAGTATTGCTCTTAACTAGATTTATAGAAAAGTCCAGGTGGTTGTTCCCAAAAAATAAGGTTTACTTTTGGGCTACTTGGTTAGAAACAATAAGGGATTGATATGCCCTTGGGAAAGGCATAAACACAGTGGAATCCTTCACAGGACAAGAATTTTGAAGACGTTACTTGGTTTTGTAAAATAAATAAATGACTTAATGTAGATGCCACCTTGACAGTTTGATAGAAACTTATTGTTTTGAGCCACAGTTTTCCTTCATTGATGTGGACATTTTATAATGAAAAAATATTACATGTAAATTTAAAAAATAATGCCATATATTATTTAGGCATTATACAGGGGAGGTTCTTTTGATTTATCTGAATATCCTGCAGATCAGTGTCATTGGGCAATCAAGCATTGATGTTATGCATGGAGTGGTAATCGGAGTAGATTGTAGGGCTCAGTCTAAGGTGAATGAAATTGTAGAGGCTGAAGAGGGACTTCAGCAGAAAATACGAACAAAATGGCTCTTGAATGACATTACATTCTTCCAAAGCATTTAACTAAAACGGAAAAATTACTTCCTGTCCTTTGTAAATGAACAGTCAACATAATGAGGGCCTTATGGAAACAATTTGAAAATTGCCATGTTAAGCACCTGAACGAAAGGGGAGGGAATAGTGTGTGTATGGCACACTCTTCTTATGCTTGAAAATGCTACCGTTGAAGGGGCTGGATTTCCTTATGAAATGAGCTGGCTATGTAGACGAATTATGGAACTTTGACCTATCCTAGGAAATACTTGGGTGTTGTTTCTAGACTAGATTTTGTTTGGGCTTTCCACAGCTCACCATGTGCAACCACAATGTACACCATCACACACTCAATAATTATCATTTGTTAAAAGCCAAACCTTGAAAAAAAATCAATGGTGTACTATGCTTACCAGAATGGCTGCTTGCGTGCATACCCAATCACTTTCTCCTCCAACACTAGAGAAGTTATGTTGCCCTGCTCTTGATAACAGTGTAGAGCTGACACAGTGGCTGATGAGAGCATGTGTTTCAGTACTCCTGGTTTCCCACGCTTCCATTATACAGGAGGGTAATGACCTATGACTTAACGTTCCTGCTCTTCAAAAGAAGCCTGAGAGTGGACTTCTCTGGTATTCAAGGAGAAGGATTCTAGCCTAGCCTTGTGTCTGACATCCTAACTTCCTTCATGCAGGGAACTTTTTACATAAGAAAAGCAGCTGATCAAGTAGTATTCCTCATCTGTATTTGTAAGAGGTAGAGCTAGGCTGTACGTCTTTTATTTATTTTTTGCATAGGTAGATTATCTCTAAGGCTGGCAAATTTGTTTGCACAAAAGGGAATCTTGAAGGAAATAGCTTGATCAATTTGAAAAAGGGGAGCCTTTCCAGCTATGGGTAATAGCTTGGCAAATGCTCTAGTAGGTAATGGTGGGGGAAGAAAAGGGAACTGATATCAGACTAGCAAGAGAATGGAGTAAGATTGCAGAGGGGAAAGATACCATCAAAGTAGAGGTTGAAAGTCAATGCAAAAAGTAACCAGGAAAGTGCTAAAGCATAAGGGGAGCCAAAGTGATTTAGCAAGCATTCTAAAGATGGGTGCTATAATAGGTATGAAGGCCACAGTTCTTTCCTTACTTGCAGCTTTGAACTTCAGACTTCCATTTCTCCTGTCTCATATTTCCGGGCTTGGAAGAGTCACTTTCTAGCCCACTTGATAGGGACTTCCTTGTAGTGCTGTGATGTTGACTCCTCCTAGTTTGCAGGGTGCCCTTCCTTTTCCCCACAAAGCTTGGAGTTGGATCTCACAGTTTTGCTCCAGTTGCAAAAGCACATTCCTCCAGTAGAAGAAAAGAAACCTTCTTCCTCTGATGCAAGAGGCTCAAAGCCTCTTCGTTCAGAGGAAGAAGGTTTCTTTTCTTCTGTTGGAGGAAAGTGCTTCTGCTACTGGAGGAAAGCGCTTCTGCTATTGGAGCAGAACTGTGAGAGCCTCTTGCAGTGGAGAAAGGTTCCTTCTGCTGGAGGAAAGTACCTTCACTAGTGAAATGGATCCATATAATAGGTATGAAGCTGATCTCTCTCTCTCTTCTCTATTGAAATTGATCCATGATCTCTCTCTCTCTCTCTCTCTCTCTCTCTCTCTCTCTCTCTCTCTCTCTCTGTGTGTGTCTTCTGTAACCTTTTCCTATTTTTAATTATGCTCATTACCATTGCTACCACATTACTGTAAACAATTCCATATTCTGTGTAGGGATATAGGAAGAATTTTGACAGAGAGAGAAATGATTGGAACAACCATCATCATTTCCAAAAGAGAAAGGTTTGGGGTTTTGCTTATATTGTGCACAATTGTGAAACCTAGTTCAAACAGTTGCTATGAATACAGGTTAAAACAATCTAGAAAAAAATGTGACAGTATCGTAGTATATTCCATAAAGCGCTTCCACCGTGTCATTGGGAAATCCACACACTCATGTTTATCACTCAGACTGCAACAGTGCATAGTGAATTGGAATTGTGACTTGGCCCTTGCAGGTCAAGTCTCAGAAGCAAAGCTTTCGCCAGTGAGGACAGGGGTCGTGGCTCAGTGGCAGAGCATCTGCTTGGCATGCAGAAAGTCCCAGGTTCAATCCTCACCATCTCCAGTTGAAAGGATCAGGTAGAAGATGGTATGAAAGACCTCCGCCTGAGACCCTGGACAGCTGCTGCCAGTCCAAGTAGACAGTACTGACATTCATGGACCAAAGGCTCCGATTCAGGATAAGGCAGCTTCGTGTGTATTTACTGTGTTGCCTTGTGTCAGTAGAAACACCATGATTTCAGATGGAGGAGTCTGTACAGTGATTAGCAAGGAACACTGGGATCAGGGTACACAAACACAGCAACCTCCCACAT